CTCTCCCCGGGTCCAGGCCGCTCCCAGTCTCCATGCTGGGGTCCCCCTTGATGTTTTGTCCGTCTCCCCAACCCGGAGAGCCCCCTGCCTGTGCAGGTGCGTGCTGGCGTAGCGGGGGCCTAGGTCTTGCCCATAAGGGGCCGTCACTGTCCCACAGGACCCACATGGCCGGGAACCACCCGGGCCTTGCCCTGGGGGCTCTTCCGTGTGCCCCACGAGCCCCACCCTCATCTGGGGCGGGAGGTGCCCGACCGCAGACCCCGGTCAGAGGCCCAGCACGTGCCTCTGGTGATGGAAGGCACAGAACGAAGTCTGGAAATGCAGCTGAGTCCCGGCTTTGATCCCCATGTGTCACGGACACTTCTGCCCCAAAAAGGGAAACCTGCTCTAACCCAGAGGCCTCAAAGGAACAAAAGAAGGAAAAAGCCACCCTCTGTTTCCTAACCCATAGTAGGCACTTGGGAGGGGACTGATCATGTCTTTGGAAGTTGACATCACATGAATCCAAACATTCCTTTCTCCTGAAAATGCTTGAGTGCTTTGCACAAGCCATTTTTTTTTTAATTTATTTATTTGAGAGAGAGAGAGAGAGAGAGAGAGAGAGCACGAGCAGGGGGAGAGGCAGAAGGAGAGGGAGAAGCAGGATCCCCACGGAGCAGGGAGCCCGATGCGGGACTCAATCCCAGAACCCCAGGATCATGACCTGAGCCGAAGGCAGACACTGAACCAACTGAGCCCCCCAGACCAGCCTCCACAAGCAATTTCTAAACATTTCCTCAAAGCAGGCCGAACAGAACACCAGAGTGACGGAGGCCAATAAGGCCCCTTGGAGGCCAGGATGAGGCCCGCCCTCCACCTCGGCGCCAGGGCCCTCAGAAGCCCTGAGAGGCGCCCCCTCGCATCCAGTGCAGCAGGACCCCGGCCCCCGGAGCCCCCCCGTTCCCAGCGCTGAGATGACCCCCAGGCCCAGCCCTACCTGCACCTTCCCCGGCCCCATGTTCTTCACAGGGGGTGGCTGGCAGGGCTCCCGCACGATGAACAGTTGCTTTCTCAGGGAGGTGGTGCTGACGTCATTGAAGGCAAGAACCTGGACGGTGAACTGTCCTTCCCTGCGAGGGTCACAGCGCACAGGAATGAAGACACCCAGCCCGCCAGGCATCTGCCTCTCCTCCCCCACCCGTGTCATTAGAGGACTCGCTGGCCAGATGGCCCATCCGTGAGAACAGAGGACACCCGGGTCATGAGGTTGGTGTCCACAGGGGCCACCTGCTGCCCAGTTAATACGCCGGCTGCCCGCCCAGTGCAGGGCAAGCCAGATGCCCAGCTCCCAGGCCAATGTCACCTGCTGACGGAGAAACAATCATTCCACTGGGGACACCTCCCGGCGGCCATGGCCTGGCCCCCCTGTGCACCATGGGGTGATGGGCACCCCGGCCCCTCAACTGGGAAGTCTGGGCATGATCTTCCTGCTCTGCTCCCTGAGGCTCAGGACCAGAGCGCCACCCGCTGTCACGGCGCGTCCATAAGGAAGGCAAGTCCCGCTGACCACAGCGCAGCCTGTGGGGTCCCCTCAGGGTCCAGGTGGTTGGGGAGCCCTGGGACACTCCAGAGATGAGGCAGGGGTGCAGAGTGGTGCATGTCCATCCCTGAGCCACAGAGCACATTCCCAGGTCCCGGGCCCAGGTGCCCACCTGAGGGAGCCTACCTGGGCGCCATCACTCAACTCCTTCCTCACGTGAACCCCCACCTCCTATGGAGAAGGCGCACAGTTGAGAGCCAGTGACGGGGCCATTCGGGCATGTCCTCGCACGTGGCGAGGCCACAGTGGCTCTCGAGGAAGTCCTGCGCTGAGGCACATCTGCCGTTTCCCTGCTGCTGCTGGCCATGGGGGCCTCGCTTCTGGGCCCTTCTGTACATGTTACTAGTCCATTACAGCAGCAAGAATGGCACCACGCTAGCCTGAGGCTCAGCTCCATCCAGAGGTCTCCACAGCCTCGGCAACCAGGTGCCCAAGGCTAGGGCTCACCTCCAGCCAGGGAGGAGACTCAGGCTCGGACCTGGCTGGCCTGCCCTTTGTCACCCTCCTGACCTTGACAGTGGCGATCCTGACGTTTGCCCCGGTGGCTTCCCGTGGGCATGCCTGCCTCCCCCAGGCAGGCCCAGCTGTGCTTGGATCTCCATAATGCTTGATTCTAGGTAAACAGCAGGTGCTCAGTAAATGCCGGATGAAAGGACACGGCCCAAGCTCCTCAGGCGGACAGTGAGCCTTTGGCAGTCCTTCCGAGCACCTTCTACCTCTGTCTGCCCTCCACCCTGTGTCCCACAGCCCTGTCCACGTGTCCTGGTGCTCAAAGCGTCCGTTTATCTGTCTCTCTTCAGTATCTGCCAACTGCGTGGACTGCTAGGTCGGCGGAGGAGAACCGGAGCTCACACCCCGCAAAGGCCGTTCCGGCCGCCCCCCGCAGGGCCGTGCCTGGCCTGAGCCGCTCACCTGCTGTAGGTGTGACTAGCAGAGCTGTCCCCGGGGCCCACGGTGCCGTCCCCGAAGTCCCATAGGAAAGTGACGTCGGTGCCAAAGTTGAGTCTGCACTCAAAGGTCACGCTGGCGTTCAGCAGAGCCGAGGAGGGGGACACGAGCCGGTTGGCGACGATTCTCCGCTGCGTCCGGATGCGGCGGGGCTCCGAGGCCACGCTGCCCAGCCCACTGGCAGCCTGCACCGTCACGCGGTACCTGCGGTGCGACCGCCGAGGGGGCGGGAGGGCGGTTGGGAGACAAGAGCAGGTCAGAGGAGAGAGCAGCCCGAAGGGAGAAGGGGGGGGACGAGACAGTTCATCTGCAGGGACCCCCCAGCCCTCATGGCTCCTCACTCTGGGGAGAGGTGGCAGAGACGCCGGACCGCCCCCTTGTCATTACGCAGCCGCCTGCAGAGCGGCAGGGTCACCCTGTGACCCTCGCTTGGATGGGGACTGACTTAGGTGGAGGAGGGGGGATCTGAAGCCAGTTCCAAAGCCCCACGCCCGCCCCTAGTTCAAGTGGGAGGGACTTCGTCATCCTTGAACCTTCCATGTGCATCCCTCCCGTTCACAGGAGCGCTCCGAAATCACTCGAGCGGCAGCTGGGGAATCTGCAGACGAGCTAAGGCCAAATGACTCCCATTTCCTCACCACTGGGGGACGCTGAGTCTTTTATTAATGCTCCTGGACATTGTCTTCACCGGGGGACCTTCTCCAAACAACCACACGAACTCCAGGGGGGTCATTTCCTCGGTAACAGCCAGAAAAGTGATGTAGGCGTCGGTGGCAAACACGGTTCCATTTGTGTAGACAGAGACGGCTGTGAGAGTGGGAGAGACACAGAAGCTTTGGCGCGGAGGGCGGGGGCCGTGCTGGGACGCCAGCATCCTCACCTCCCACACAGTACGGCCGGAGGGAGGGTCCCCAGCCCACATGGAGGGCTGCAGTGGGAACCCGCTGGGCGATTCTGGCCCCAGATCAGAGGCCACACCATAGCTCACAAAATGAGAGCAATCATCCCTGTGAGTTCTCCTCGAAAGAGCACAGGACAGGGCCGGAGGCATGCAGAGGATTCTGCACCGTGACCCACCCCACACCTTCAGGTCGAAGCCTCGACGCATGTGGTTTCTAGAAAGCACTAGAATGAACTGCGGGTCAACACCGAGCTGGTTCAAGGACAAATGCAAATCTCAGCGGAGCTAATCACAGCATCCGGTGCTTTCCAGGGCCCTTGTGACCTCGACGGACCCTAGCAAGCCTGCAATCAGAGTGAAGACGTACGCTGCATGTGATACCCGACCGTGACGCGGCGCCAAGCCTGGCTGCCCCCTGCTCGGCTCTGAGAAGTGAAGGCCACGTTACCCAAGGGACCAGCTGGAAATCGATGTGAGACAACAGTGCCTGAACGGACGACAAAACAAAATGAAACACATGTAAGGGCCTTAAAGTCCATTCCTTTGTCTCACGCCGTAGGTGATCAGTATTTTCCATCTTTTACTTTCCCTCTCTGAATTCCTGCGAGCTCCAAGTTCTGATGCGCGAGACTTGAAGTCAGACAGACCTGCAGAACATGAGCCTTATCCAGAATGTCTCTGACATTTTAAGTGTTTTCTACTCCTGAGACCTGCCCTGCATGGAGTGAGCGTGTTCATCCCTTTGCTGCTGGCCTTGTCTTAGAAGGATCTCCCTGAAGGGCATGCTAAGGGCTGTTTACTGCATGAGGTTCCCAAAGGGGCCCCGGGGCGAGCCTTGGGCTGGTAACCCCTCAGACACACAATGCAAGGTGCCACACATATAGAACATGTGTGTGTGTGTGCGCGCACGCGCGCATTGTGTGCACCAGGAGGGCAACTACCAAACAATCTGCCAGGACCCAGAGGAGGACTGGCATGTCTGGGAAGACTCAGAACAATCCATGTGTCTATATGAGGAAAGGAGGTGGGTCTTTTCTTTCAAAGACTGTTGTCCTGTGTAGGTTTTCCCTTTAGAGGGGGAAAATGCTCATTTATAACAATGATCACGCAGAGTGGGTGTTTCATTCATCTGTGCTTTAGAATTTCTGAAGAATAAATACCCCATGACTGAGAGTGACACCATCCCATGAGCAATACCTGAAGCTTCATTCTGGCGGGAATGCGGTATCAGGCCGCAGGAGGAAGCACACATAGGGATCTGCACGGGAACACCTCGTTTCGCACGCATCTGTGCCGGACCCTCCGATTCTAACTCCTGACACAGAACAACCAGGGACAGGCTAATCCCCCGCCCCCACATGTGTGTTCTAATTTCTTGGGTAGAGAGGCTCTCACAAGGCTAACTGCATGGAAACTGTACAGTCAGTGTGGAGAACAAGTTACAAAGACCTCCAGGTGAGTGAGCACATCTGGACACACACCCACTGGCTTCCCCTTTTCCCCGTTTCTGGGAAACGTAACCCATCCCTCCATCCACTCAGGCTGAGCACTCTGGGATTGTCTTCGACGGGTGCCCATGACCCTTCCTTCCACATGTTGCTGACACTTGGCTGGGGTTCTCCGTTCCCACCCCGCCGGCCCCCGAGCCCAGTGCCTCCCCTACAATATTGAGTGGATGGGGAGTCCCTCGCCGGTGGCTGTCGGGCCTGATGGGAGCGAAGTGCAAGCAGAGCGCCTGGCCCCCCGTGAGCACTCATCCATCCCCAGCGCCCGTGGGGCCAAATCTCTGTGCTTGGAGTTCCTGCCCAGCTGTCAGCCCCACATGCTCTCCCCACACCCGCTGGACCCCTCCCCAAGGCCCATGATGGATCCACCGCCTACCCTAGAACTGCCTTATCCTGCGGTGACACACCCTCCCTCCTGACATGTCCCAGGCCCTGGCCACGCCCTGAGAGGCAGCACCACGTCAAGGCCCTGTGTTTCCGACACAGACCTCGATGCCTTTCGTAGACCGTAAATCCTGAGACCAGGACCTGTAGGACTTCATCTTCACGTGCGCCTCAGAGCACAGTACTGTGCAATCAGTGCATCCTGGACAAGGCGGGGTAAAGGCTGAAGGCGTGTCTGAGCGGAGAAGCAGTTGGACCTGGATGTACCCCCAGCAGAGGCGGGCCTGGGCTTCAGAACCCACTCGTGTCTCTTACCCTTCTGACCTGTCCTGGAGTCAGCAAAGACAAGAAGCTCGTCCCTGTGGATGCTGCTGGAATTCATGAACACAGACACGGTCGCAGGGCCAATCTCCACAAAGTAAGGCCCAAGCTCCTTTTCAGTTCCACAAAACTCGTTGTAGATATGTGCCTTCAGCACATAGACGCCTTCTGGGAAGAGACACAAGAGCAGCCACATGATGAGCTATGAAAAGCACGTGCAACACTGAACATCCGCGCAAGGGCAATGAGGGGTGAGTGCTCTGGGCACGGACCCAGCACAGGTGGCTTTCTCTTGCAGGAGGGGCTGCCTTGTGGCAGGGGACCCGTGCAGGGCACGTGACACACGACAGGGCTCGGCGTGTGCTTTCATGCTCCGCAGTCATGAACGTCTTAATAATTTGCGTTAACCGAGGGTGCTGCATTCTCACATTGCCCTGGGACCCGAGAACGACGCAGTCGAACATATTCACGAGGATGCAAACAGACACCGGCCACCCCGCAGCGAGGCAAAAGAACGCAGCGGTTGTGACGACCACAAACACACACGCACACGCACACGCACTGGCCTTCTGTGAAGGGAGGGGTGGGCCACGAGGCGTGGGGCGGAGCCGGCTGGCAGGCGGGAAACAGAAACCAGAGAGCTGGACAGGAGGGATCTGGAGGGAAGGCGAGAACGGTAAGCAAGACGAAAAGAGCAGAAAGGATTCGGGAAGCAAAGGGACCTAGCACGTGCATGGCCCGTCTTCCATAAAGAAGGCTGAAATGCCAGCACAGATTTTAAAGACATAATTTTTAAAAAAAAAAATCTTTCCTGGGGATGCCTGGGTGGCTCAGTTGGTTAAACATCTGCCTTTGGCTCAGGTCATGATCCCAGGGTCCCAGAAGCCTGCATCTCCTTCTCCCTCCGCCCCCACCCCCCACTCATGCTGTCTCTCTCTCTCAAATAAATAAAATCTTAAACAAAAATCTTTCCTGAAATGAAGGAAAACAAAGCATACTTACATATGGGAAAGGCACACCATGTACCAGAGAGCGTTGACCTGGAATGGCCAGCACCGAGACGTGTTTCCACAAAGTTACGGGACCGCAAATATAAACAATGACTTTGAGCCAAACATCAAGTCATCCAGACAGAGGAAACAGGAAGCTGAGCGTAGAGGCCCCCATAGCACGGCAAGTGTGGAGGGTCATGCGGCTGGCTCCCCAAAGCATGGAGGACTAAGATCCAGCCCCTGCATTTCTGAGTCTGTATGTCTGCGGCCAGAGAATCTGTACTTTATCCTGACATTAGATACGGATGATGTCGGTCCAAAAACCCCACTCAGGCCAGACTGGAGCAGAGAAACACCTCCGTTCCTCGAGAAAAGAATGTGTGACCATGGACGGAAGAGCCAGCAAGTTGTCATTCACATATAACAACCTCGAATATGGAAGAAGTGGGAATTTTATTCCATGAGTCTTCCTAACACATCTATTCCAAAACATGCATCTGATAAAGGCTGCTATCCAAAACATACAAAGGACTCTCAACACTCAACAAATAAGCAAACAGACGGCCTGATTTAAAAAGTGGACGGAGGAGCTCCGGACGGAGACGCGTCACCCAAGGAGACAGTGAGACAGAGTAGCACGTGACAAGACGCTCCGCGTCCCGCGTCAAGGCCGTGCATGCGGGAACCACACCCCTCGAGGACGGTCAGGATCAGCCCCGATGACACCCACTGCTGGCCAGCATGTGGGGTCCCAGGAGTGCTCGCTCACTGCTGGTGGGTTTGCAGAACGGCCCAGCTGTGGGGCGCCTGGCCGGCTCAGTCAGAGGAGCGTGCGACTCTGGATCTCGGGGTCGTGAGTCAGACCCCCACGTTGGGGGCGGAGATGACGTAAATAAATAAATGCATAAACTTAAAAAAAATGGCGCAGCTGCTTTGGGGGACAATTGGGTGGTTTCTTTAAAACTAAATATACCCTTACTCTAGGATCCAGCCATCACAGGGGTGTGGGCCAGACAGGTGCTGGGCTATCTGCTGAGACAGGGTGCTGCCGGGGGGGAGGACACCCCGAATCCTGCCTCAGGCCAGGCCCCCTTCCTCCTTCTCACACGCTCACACACATGCACACACACACACGCATTCCCGGCAGGGATGTGATCACAAGGACCAGACGGAGGGTAAGTGCGGGTGCTGGGGACATGAAGATGCTGGGAGCCAGCACGCCCGCTCTGTCGAGGGGCATGGGGCTATGGCAGCCCCACAACCCACCAGCTGTCATGGTTTCATTCCTAACACTGACCACATTTTAAGTCACAAAGACAACCTTGGCATTTTTTTTTTTAAGCAAAATGGGAGAAAACATCCACTCATCATAATGGGCTGGAACCATGAATTAATAATGAAGCCAGAACACGAGAAAGGCCATACGACAGGTGGCAATTTTAAAACTTGAATAATAAATAATAATGTAGGCATCCAACTCAAAATGGAAATCTAGAACAAAAGCATTGTATAAGAGCAGGAAGTAGGCAGTAAAGATAAAAGCAGAAATTAATAAACTTAGGGGACGAACGTAGTCAATGAAATTCAAAGACTGGTTCCTTTATTTTTTAAGATTTATTTATTTGAGAGAGAGAGAGAGTGAGCATGAGCGGGCAGGGGCACAGGGAGAGGGAGAAGCAGGCTCCCCACTGAGCAGGGAGCCCGATGCGGGGCTCCATCCCAGGACCCTGAGATCATGACCTGACCCGAAGGAAGACGCTCAACTGAATGAGCCGCCCAGGACCCCTGAGTATACAACTCTTGATTTTGGCTCAGGTCGTGGTCTCAGGGCCCTGGGATCAAGCCCCACATTGGGCTCCACACTCAGCACGGAGTCCAATTCAGATTCTCCCTCTCCCTCTGCCCTCCCCCTGCTCATTTGCTCCCTCTGTGTGTCTAAAGTAAATAAAGTCTTTTAAAAATTTAAAATTTAAAAATTTTAAAAATTAAAAAGTCCTTGATAGGACCCCTCTTACACTGTTGGTGGGAATGCAACCTGGTGCAGCCACTCTGGACAACAGTATGGAGTTGCCTCAAAAAATTAAAAATAGAACTACACGATCCAGCAATTGCACTGAGAGGTATTTACCCAAAGGATACAAAAATACTGATTCAAAGTGACACATGCACCCCGATATTTATAGCAGCATTATCAACAATAGCCAAACTATGGGAAAAGCCCAAATGTCCATCGACTGATGCATGGATAAAGAAGATGTGGTTATACATACACAATGGCATATTAGCCATCAAAAAGAATAAAATCTCGCCATTTGCAATGATGTGGATGGAGCAAGAAAGTGTAATGCTGAGCAAAATAATCAGTCAGAGAAAGACAAATACCAGATGATTTCACTCATATGTGGAATTTAAGAAACAAAACAAACAAGCAAAGGGAAAAAAAAAAGAGAGAGAGAGAGACAAACCAAGAAACAGACTCTTGACTCTCGAGAACACACTGCTGGTGACCAGAGGGGAGCTGGGTGGGGGATGGGGAGAGAGGTGATGGGGAGGAAGGAGCGCACCTGTCGTGGTGAGCACCGGGTGATGTAGGCAAGTGCTGAATTGCTATATTGTACACCTGCAGTAATATTACACTGTATGCTAACTAACTAGAATTTAAAATTAAAAAAAAATTTAAAAAAGTCCTGATAAAGGAGGAAAGATGAGAAGCTCCTTTATTTATTTATTTATTTTTTTTTATTTTTATTTTTTCTGGGCCTCGATCAGAAGGACTTGGGCCCAAGATGAGAAGCTCCTCAACATTCGAGAAGCTCTATCAGCCCCCAATCTGGTACCAAGTTTAATGGGCAACACCGAAAGCATCTTGAGACAAAGACGCCCCTGTCATCTGTCCTCAGCCACCTTGTTCTGGAAGGAGCAGCCAAGCTGAGTGAGACAAGGGCAGGACAGGTGTCAGCTTGGAGCTGCAGGGATGGCGTCTACCCGTCTGTAAATACCGTTCATATAACTGACAAACACTAAGGAGTAAGCTTCATGGTAACTACGCACAATGTGATAATTCAGAGCGATAGAGCGGTACAAAATTAATAGTTAATACCAGCAACTCTTCTACATCCAATGACAACTCCCTCGAAAAGAAAATGAAAGAAAAGATCTCATACACCCCAGCACGAAAAATAAAACGTCCTCTGAGAAATGTGCACTTTCCATATGAAGACACCTTTAAATGCTTCCAGAGACCCAAGGAACACTTGGACAGAGAAAGGTATTTTCATGAGAAGAGAGATTCTTGAGCATAAATAGTCTGCAGAAATCAATTCATGAATTTAACGTTATTCGAATAAAAATGCCAATAAGATGTTTTTACATGAACCAGTGGGAGTCTAAAGTCCACGTGGAAAAATGGACAAGTGAAAATAACCAAAATAATTTTAGAAAGGATGAGTAATGAAGGGGAGCCCAGCTGCATGGACAGCAGAACCCAACCCACAAGCAGGGGTGGGGAGGGAGGGCTGGGGGGTGGCTGGCAGAGGCTGGGGGTGGCCAGTGGAGGCTGGCGCTCTCCAGATCCCCGGGGGCAGGGCCAGCAGCACCCAGGGGTGGCCATTCAGAGAAAAATAAAATGCAATCTGCCCCCTCAGACTCGTCATCAGAATGCACACTCCAACGTACTAAATATTCAACTGTGTGGAACAGAATCATACAAACACTGCAAGATACCACGATAGAATTATTTTGCAAACTTGGATTAAGGAAGGGATTTCTCTCTATGACATAAAACCCAGAAACCATATCAGAAAAGAGAAAGTATACTTAAAAATTAAAATTGCTGCATGAAAGGAAAAAAAGCTATAAGCAAAGCCCAAACACAAATGACAAATGAGAAAAACATTCATTGCAGCTTATATCTGATGAAAAGGACTAATTATCATAATTACTAAAAGTGCTCATACAAACAGCATATCAGGTTGAACCACGAAAGTATTCTTCTTCTTGGTAAAATATGGCAAATGTTGGCACTTTCGCAGGATTGAGCCTAGTAAGAGGCAAATTAAAACCGCAGAAAGATACGTTTTCACCTTTTACACTGATGTCTACACTGCTCCGGGGACTATAAGCCAGCCAACCCTTCTTGGGAGCAATTTAGCAACAACCAGCAAATCACAAATGTACCTAACATTTGAGGCAATAATTTCCCTTTTCTATGAAATAGCACATACATGCGTTTAGTGGCTGCACGTTATGTGCAATATTGAAAGATTAGGAAACAATCTCAAGGTCTACCCATGAAAGAATGATGAGACAGATTTGGGGTACTGCACTACTGGACCCCTCTGCACCCACAAGGCACGTGTGGGAAGAGCTCTGGATGCCGACGAGCACATGAGCGAGCACGTGAGCGACAGGGAGCGGGGCTCCGCGTGGTGCACGTGTCTGTGTTCCAGACAGAAAGATCATAGTTGTACTGCACACGCATGAGACATCTCAGAGACAGAGGAGCAGTGTCGCCTGAGAGGAGGCACCCATGACTACATGCCTCCCTATAGGTGGGGGTTTGAACTTCGAGAACGTACCATATTCAAAAAATGATTTAAAAAAATAAAGAGAGCAAACAGTGACAGGATGCCGGTGAGCAGGACAAGGTTGGAATTCACCCGCTCCCACCCCGCAACGTCAGCGCTGGGGGCTTCTCCATGAAGACTGGTTCCAGCACCAAGACGTCTGGAGAAAAATGGTTTTTGTGACTTTGTCTAAATGCAAAGTGTTTGACAATTTAGTGCAGAAGATTAAGCGTGCAACGTTGTGTGTGTGTGTGTGTGTGTACCCAGTGTCAGCGATTCACACCAAAGCTCAGAGCTTTCCCTGTGGAGGGGGTCACGTGGCTCACTAGGTGTGTGACCTCAGGACAAATCCCTGCCCCTTCTGGCCTTCCCATGCTCCTCCAAATGGAGAACAGGGCCGATGGCGGGATTCAGTGAGGAACAGTGTATGGGAGCAGGCAGAGTGCAGGCTCCTGGGCCTTCGTCACCAGAACACGGCAGGCACGGGGCGGGGGGGGGGGGGGGGGGCCGGGGGGGGCCAGGAGGGGGGGGGGCTCCTTTCGGCCCCAGTGTGGCCAGCGCCATCTCTGGGGTCTTGCCATACCTGCACTCCCTGCCTGGGTTCACATCCTGACACGGAGCACCCTACCTTTCCTGAACTGGTGGTAGGCGGTGACCGCCATTCCTCCGGTCACATTGCGGATCGCCACTTGAACCCCAGAGCTGTCCCCGAAATCCATCACCAGACACAGAGCTGCTTGGGAAGCCACCTGGACCTGGAAGCCCAGACTCGGAGGCGCCTGAGCGTCCGCGTCTGGGAAGCCATGGACGGCGGGATCCACTGTGTCAGCAGGAACTTGCACGGAGATGGCTCCAGGGTGACACTGAGCGAGGAGACAGAGCTGCTTGGGACAAGGCCAGGATGCTGAGCCATTGTGGCCGAGGGAGCTGTGGGGAGAGAGGAGGGACAGCTTCAGAGAACACAACAGTCCTACCGGGAAGGACGGAGACCGGAGGGGAGCAAGCTTTGTGGAACCTGATGGCAGGGCTTACTTTCCCTGGCTCCCAAAGTGGGGTCCCGGGCCCAGTGGTGCCAGCATCAGCGGGCACTGGTGAGAAATGCAAGGTACGTGGAGTCAGAAGCCCCGCGTGGGCCCGCAAGCCCGAGGGGACGCTGAGGGCACCTACAATCTGAGAGCCCCTGCTCCGGCTACAACAATCCCAGCCATGATGCAAATGCTCTCCCTCATCGCTGAAGTAAGGGCCCTACAAGGTATGCTCCCTGAAAGTCACTACCTGATAGTTCTGTGAAAACGCCCAACGTGGGCTGGGCACCAGCCTTTCCACCGGCGGCCCTTCCTGCTGCGAGTGCCCTGCCTGTCTACTAGGAACACGCAATCATTCACAGCTCCAGTCTGGATGGGCGTGTGCCCGATCCAAAATACAAAGCCCACCCAGTAACATGGGCTCTTGTGGGGAAAACAGTGGCCAGCTGTGTGGTCCAGGGCGCTGGGGCTGAACTGGCCACAAATGCAACCACCACTAGGTGAACAGGGAGACAGTGAAGTTGCCAGCTCACAGGGCGTGCCTCCAGAATCGGGGTCTAGGGAGGACGCAGGCCTCCCCGCCACCCTCACCCTACCTTCCCGGTAAGGTGGGAAAAGGTGCGGTTGGAGTGTGGGTCTGAACGGACGCAGCCACCCAGATGGGGGCCCCCATCGTAACGGTGGCCGCTGTGACCTCGGTCCCTGGAAGCTGCACCGGGGCCACGTCCTCTGCAGAGCGCTGCCGTCCCGGGGGGCAGGAGGGGATCTGCGTGCTCACGCTGCGGGAGCCCACTGCGGGACAGGTGCACTGGAATTTAAGAGGTGAATGAGTAAGGGGTTGTGACGGGGTCTAGGCTGCCGTCAGTCAGCCTGGTCTCTGCACGGTCAGGAAGCTGGAGAATAAAGGGTCCCCGTGAGGCTGCGGGCTCCCTCATCCAGGTGGGTTAGCTCAGGGTGGCCCCGTGCATTGCAGACGGGGTGCAGGAGAGGGTTCGCACCCGCCAGCACAGTGACCAAGGGCACACTGGCGGCAACCACCGGGAGCCTGGGGAGCCATCGTTGTCCCGAGTTCACGCCGCTCCCGGCAAAGTGACCACAAATGAGCTCCTTTATAGGGGTCAGCTACAAATCAAAGGGGACGGCTGAGCGGGGATGCTCTTGCAGACATCAAAAATGCGGTGCACATTTTCTGTTAGTGAGGATCCAATTCATATTACACTTTCAAACCGGCTGAGCAGCGTCCAAAGGACTAGCAGCTGGAAATACGGCTCACCCCCAAGCCCCAGGGCCGCCTGACCCACCAGCAGCTTACTGGAGATGTTCCCCCACGTCAGGCAGACACACCCACCTGGAGAAGACCACAGAAGTCACCACTGGCTTTCCCAGCCGCACACATCTGTCGGCCACAGGGGCCACTGCTGCCCCAGAAGCTCGCCATTGTCACGGAAGGTCCCCGGGAGTTTCTAGATACGAAGGGGAAAAGGCAGAGACAGGAAGGCTGGCTGTGCTTTGCTCACTCATGTGGCCATGAGACCACGGGAGGGCTCTCTGTGACCCACACCTGCTCATCGGTGGCCGGGGTGACACCGGGGTGTCTGCAGGTAGAAGCTGAACGCACAAAGGCTGCGCCAGTGTTCTGGAAAGGAGTGTCACTGAGGAGAAGCATATTTAAAGCCATTTACTAACATCTGTCCCCAGCTGGGACCCTGCCTCAGATGGCTCACCCGAAGGGCAGTCACTGTCCTAACGTGCTCTGCCATCCAGGGGTGGCTGCCTGGGCTCGGGTCACAGGGAGCTGTCCCCTGAGGCAGAGCCAGGCCTCTGCAGGATTCACCTGTGACTCAGGGCTGCTCCCGTGCATGGCGGCAGCTCACCGAGTCTGGTGCCCTCCAAGGTACTGGGAATGGGATGCAAGGGGCATGACCACAGCCAGCAAGGACGAGGACCTCTTAAGAGGGTCTCCTTCGTGTCCCATGTTACAGGACCCCGTTTACCTTGACCCGTGGGCCCTACAGGAGGGATGTGCTGAGGCTGGTCAGGGCCAGGGCACTCAGACACGGACGCCGCCCCCTCCTCTGCTACAGGGCTGGGTCCTTGTCCTGGGGCCGGTGAAGCTGAACATCTCCGGCCCAGGCTGTCCTAACGCTGGGCAGGAAGTATCTGGGCTCTGGGCGCCCAGCTTCCAGCCATGGTAATGGGGAAGGGGCACAGACTTCAGATCACAGCACAACCGCCACAGGTCCTGGGAGCCCTCCCTGTGCACACCAGGGTCACCCGTTCTCTCCATCCAGGGGCTCTGCAGCCAGTCAAGCTAGCCGTCCTCCCGCGACACAGTTCCTAGTCCGCTTGTCCTGGCTGCTGGCTTCCTACCCATTCCCATACCCTGTTAGCTGTTAATGCACTGATGTTCCTTAAAACCCCGCAGGTCTCCGCTGAGCTCGCACAGCCTCCCGTAGACAGAGAGGGAGCGCCTCCCCAGAGTGCTGCTCTGCTCAGACCTGTTTCCAGAGTTTTCTGGGAGGAAGGCCCCCTCCCCCATGCGTGCGCGGCTGAGACTAGCTGCCCAGCACCCGCTTTGTGCAGCGGAGGGCCAAGGATGCCCGCGGCCTGCTGAGAGCCTGGTGGCGCATGAGGGCATGGATTCCAACCGGGGGTTTCTCTCTAGCAGAACACATGTACTTACACACTGGTTAAGTTCCAAAATTGCCTCGCAACAATGAACCCCGAAGTTCCTCACTGCAGAAAGAGTGAGTCTTCAGCTAGGGCCCCAGACGATGCATCAGTCCGCCCAGTGACTTGTACCAGCAAGGGGACAGCCAGCCGAATGGGCCGGAGCTACCACACCTGCAAGGCAGATGCCCGGACGGTCCCTCCCAGGGGAGGAAGGCTATGGTCGGCACAGAGGACTCCAGACACCACAGCCCTGGGCCACGCGCCCAGGGGCACGGCTCACAGACCACCTGGCAGGCCCCACTCGCCCCAGGACTGCAGCCAGCAGTGACAGGGGCTGGCGGAGCCGGACAAGGACAGGTGTGGGGAGCAGGGGCCCTCGTCAGTGTTATTTTTCTGGGTTTTCCCACAGTGGCTGACCTGCCGTGTCCCCATAGTCACCAGTTGGACCAGGCCTGGGTCCCCCGCCGTGTGTGTGCTCTGTGAGGGTGGGCCTCCACCTGCCCCCTCCAATCTGCTCTCTGCAGTGTTAGGGCAGCGGCTAAGGCCCGGCGGGGCGACGCAGGGACACAAAAGGCCATGTGCATCCGCTCTGTGCGTGACAAGTCAGAGTCACACATAAACCTGGCCTCCCTGCGGAAGCCTGCGGGCCCGCAGCTGCAGAGCTGAAACCTCTCGCACGCCCACACCTCCTCCCCTGCCCGCCCTCCCTGGCCTCCCCCACTCCAGTAGCAGTGGGGTAGGCTGCCTCGGGTCCCCGCCCTGCTGGGGGCTTATACTCGCACCCAAGGGACACCAGCCACTCCTGAGAGAGGCTTCAAGGGCCATCAAGAGGTGCTACTGTTGATGTGCATCCAGCTCGCCTTCAGCCAGATCCCGGAAGGAAGAGGCCATGGGTGCAGGGCCTCGTCTGGGCACAGAGGACACAGAAAGGAACCTTTGTCACCAGGCAAAGCCCCCACCGGAATAGAGCGGCTTGTCCCAGCAGCACTGCTCTCAGGGGTGGCTAGTACCTGTCCCTACAATTTACCCACTTTCCCCAAACGGGCCACGTGCCCCGCTTTGCTGGGATGACTCCTTTCCCTGGTTCCACCTAATGGACCTCCAGCTCACTCCTCAAGCTCAGTCCCCAGCCCCAGGCCTTCCCGACCCCGTGGACACAGCCGACACCCCCCGTGCATCTCCGTCGAGTCCGGAGGGTCCCACATTGCCCTATTTGCTGTTTGGGTTACGCTTCCCTCCTGCACTGGATTTAGGGTCCCCCAGTGGAGGACAAGATCTTATTAGTCTCCGCTCTAACCCAAACCCTGCCTCTAGGGTGGGCCTCAATAGTGATGGCGTTTGGTGGAGGAGGAATGGTGCAAATAAATGGAGAGCAGGTGCACTGAGGTCCATGGGGAGACCTGGGGAACACGGCTGTTACAGCAGCCTGGCGGGTAGGCCACCCGGGGCGGCGGGCGGGGGGGCTGGCAGCAGCGAACATGGTGGAAATGTGCTAATCACCAGGAAGGACAAAGAAATGTCTGTATCTGGGCACCCGGTGTTTCCTTTAGGAAAGATCACGTCTGTTTTCTGTATGCGTCAATGTTTAATTTTCATTAGGGTGAGTGAAACCATAGATTTCAGGACTACCGTGAGGCAGAATCCAAGAGCAGGCCACGTGTTTTTAGAAGTATGCTTACTTCCAATTTTTGATGGCCCAGTGCTACTTTCTTACTGTGGCAAAAAAAATAATAACATAAAATCGACTGTCCTTCTCATTTTGAAATGTACACTTCATCAGTGCTTGGTACCTTCCTGGTGTTGTGAAACATACCCCAAGGATTTTTCATCCTAAACATCCTGCGGACCCTCCACCCTGCACCCACTGAACACCGGGTCCTCGGTCCCCGCCCTCCACCCTGGCACCCACGACCCATCCTCCGTCTCTAGGAACTTGGCTGCTCCAGGGGCCTCATGCACATGGAATCCTGCAATATCCATCCTTCCGTGACTGGCTTGTTCCACTTAGCGCCCCGGGCTCAGGCTCCCTCTGATGCCACTGTTTTCAAGTTTACCCGTGTCACACCCGCAAGAAGACTAGTCACCCATTCTTCCTTCCACCAAGATCGGTGTTCTGTGCACTCTGCAACCCCCCACACCCCAGACGGCGCTCCAGAGCTCACCCTGGCCTGGGCAGGTCCTTGCACGCCTGTGTGCCTGTGCAGAGCAGATCTCCACTAGGGCTCGCAGACATACCTGTCGGCACGGTCACCCCAATCCGAAGCAGCCCACGTCCTCTTGCTGACAACACTTAACACTGCTCTGCTGGTTGTTTTCAAAACGTTCTGGGAGGGGGACAAAGAGTAGTAACTTGAGAGCTGCTTATAAGAACCCAGTGAATTTGGGAAAGTAACACTATTTCACTCAAGGACAGCAGCCGGACCTGCTGGGCTGTAGCGAACAGGCAGAGAACAAAGCAGGCTAGCCCTCTGTCCTCCCAGAGCCCATGGTCTCGGGGTCATGGGGAGCCAGCTGGAGAGCAGGAGAGCTGTGGACACCAGGAGGGTAGGGGTTCCCGGGGGAGGCGAGGACGTCCGATGGGGTCTTCAAACCTGGGACTCTGCATGTCCTTCTGAATGAGACAGGGGTGTGGGCACCCGAGTGGCATAATCTGACCCATGGCCTGGCCGCCATATTGAAATAGGATGTGGGAGACAAGAATCCCAAGGGAAATATTCTGAATTGGCTCTCAATTTAGACACTGCGTCGGCCCTAGAGACCCGAGGGGCTCTGTTTCCAGGGCTGATATGGGTAAGGCAGCACCACTGGGTACCCCTGATGGAATCCTTACAAGAGGCAGGGCGCTGTAGGACATTTGTGTCAAACTAACCAGCACAGATCTCCTTGATTTACGGTGGGGCTGCATCCAGATGAACCCATCGTAAGTTAAAAATACTGTTAAGTGGAAAATGCATTTGACACACCCAACCTCCTGAACATCAGAGCTTAGCCTGGCCCGCC